AAGTGCTATATTATAAAGCATTGGGCGATATGAAATATTTTCATAGAGAAAATGAAATCTTTGTGAAAAGATACATGCGGCCGGAAGCTGCTTACTGCTGAAAACATTCTGAAGTACAAAAGCAAGGCTTTCAGTTTAACCTCTTGTTATTAACTTAAAGTGTTTTGAAGTACTTCAAAAATTTGAAATCGTTTGTTTAATTGTACAAGGATTCTCATCTGCATCTTAGCTATCTCTTTTTTTAAAAAGTATGTAAGTAACTGTAGTTTACGTATAGCGTAAGTAACTTAGCGTAAGTAACTTAGTTTACGTATAAAGATACTCGCACAAGCCAATAATGTGATGTTCAGAAAACCGTCTTCACACAAGAAGGATGCTAATTGGACGATGGTTACAACCAATCAGATTTGCCTTGAGGCAACGTTTTAAATCCCTGAATTAAGGCACACTGGAGACAATGCAATAGCCTTGTTTCAAGATGGCTTTGCTGCGTATATTTGCACGTTGTATGCTGTTATTTATCTTCGTTATCAGTGCAAAATCGGGTTTGTGAATAATTTATCTGGCTTTATCTGTTGTTCTTTTCTCCTCCCAGTCATACTCTTCTCCGACGTTTTGCCTAGTTTTTCCAGCTTAGAGCRCAAGCTTAGACCTCGAATAAACGTCTAAATCTAACCCAACTATCCACCCATCCAAGTCCACCCTGTACGACAATCACACCAACCGCTAAAGCAAGTAATTGCATTAATATTTRAACAGCTTTATAGGTTCCAGCAGCCATATTGACCAATATCAAATTGTTATTTGCTGAATATCTATCTTTYTTAGATTCCCAAGAAACTGAWTGTTCAACATCTCCATACAGTAAAGTAGGTTGCTACAAACACTCAGAGAGCACTTCAGAGAACCTAGTATGGATAACACCAGGAGTAGCTCCAGAGGATATGCCAGATTGGGAGACGTATTTGAGTACTTTGGTGTGCCAGTGTTCTAGCTCGGCCAAAACTAAAGGCTTTACCTTTTTTGGAGTGAAGTACTACAAGYCAAAAAATAGCTTATTCTACAGGGGTGAGTGATAATGATGTTATACTATAAAAATTAGGAAGCCATAAAGTACAAAACTTTATAAACAGACTAACGTATCAAAGAATCTGGTAGAAACTTTGATTTCTATGGTCTTCCATATATGGTCACTATCGATTAACTAAAACAATAGACTGGTGTGAACCGCGCGAGATTCAAAATCACAGCGAAACAAAAGAGATTCATTAATATGCGGATTTGAGCTGAATCTCGAACCGGACTCATTTGACCATGAAATGCTCGGGAACACTTCGTGACTGATATTGGGCGAGGCAGATATTGATCGCAAATAAGCAAATCTCAAATTTGGGGGGAAGATAAGCGTATTCAACTTTCAATAAATTGGGTTGTAAAGCAAGATTATTTTTCCCCAGGTTTGTGTTTCACAATTCCCTTAGTGAACAAGCTCTTGCTCCAAGAAGACACCAACGGATGTATTGACTCTACTACAGGAGTTTGTGATCCTAATGATGGCAGCGATTGTAGCGGAAAATCGTCTTCAATCTTCAGTTACAGACGTACGTTCACAACAAAGTATACAATTGGCCGTTAAGACGCAGTTTCTTTGTTTATTACTACAATAAATGTAATAACAATAAAATATGTCAATAAAATGTCAAATAAGAAAATAATTGTGACTACTAAGGTGAAGGACAGAAAAAAAACACAAGGTTTTGATGCAAGGTTCGATCCCGTACTCWCGGTGATGCCATGATGTAGAGTGTCCGACTCCAATGACTTGCCGGTGAAACACAGTAAATCAATTAAAAAAAGAAAAATTTGATTTCTTCACTTTGTAAAATAAATAACCAGCACTAACAAAAGAAAATATAACTGAAGAAAAAAAAAGAAAAGAAAATTTACATTGAAATATGAATAATTTTTCGGTCCCACATGGCAGAGCGGAACCCGAGTGCCTGGTATAAATGACACACGATTTGATGTATTTCYAACACAAGGCGTTAGTCATAAGTACTTAGGGTCCGGTTAATCATCTCCCTCTTAGGGGGACCGGTCGCCCATCCAATTAGATGGGTGACCTGTTTTCATAATACTTTCACTTAAAAAAWTTTTAATTTCTTTTTTTTTTCTTCCTTCTATGGAAATATTTTTTTCTGAATTTTATATTGTAATGCAAAAATGTTAGAAATAGTCATTTATTTATATGGATCTGTAATATTCTCCTACTTCTATAAGTGATATTCTTGTAAAATTATAATTCATCATGAAAGCTAAAAATTTATATTAAGACGAGAACCAATTCGTGGAACACACCGTGTCCAGTTCACTTTAAGTGTATATTTTAACAGCACCGTGATCAATCTCGTACCCAGAGCCGCCGTTCCAGGAACGGCGGCTCTGGGTACGAGATTGCACCGTGATTGATTTGATAGATTCTGCGTATAATCTTTCCCCATCATTTATTCTGAATAGATCATTTGTAGGGAAATTTTTTTGAGATCGGCAATATTTCATTTTTTCTTGACAGCATATCCTTAGATTGAAAATTTATAGCTATTGTGGTTGAGTTACAGTGTCATTTATGCAGTACCACAGGAAGCCCATGTCATATAGAAGTACGACCGCCAGATTCACTGGTCATAACGACCAGATTCTATGAATTGTTATTTTCACCGAATAGACTTTATCACAATTTTATCATTGTATTTTCAATAATTTCCTTATTGCCCGTTCCTTAAGTGCATGCATGCTCGGACATAACAATAAGTCTGAAGTGCCGGTGCCGCGAGGGAATCGCGCTAGCCAAATCTAATAGTCAGAGCGCTCGTTTATATAATCTCTTAAATTTTTTTTATAATACTGATTTTCTATGATGAAARTTCGTTCATTGAAAAACGCGCATGCTCGAGTTTCCCAGTTCTGTGCTAAAAAGGTGCTCTGGGGACGAGCATTTTTTRACCCACATGGGATAGCGACGGATTTCTGATATCTTGATTTGCCGCAGTYTTTAATTGATGTCCCCTCTCCTCAGTGTTAACGTTGTAGCTCACACCTTACACTGAGGCTTTAGCACTTCTTGGGTCGTGATGAAATATCAAATTTTGCAAAACAGATTAATGTCAAGTGCTATCTTATACGGCATTGAGCGATACGAAATCTTTTCATAAAGAGAATGAAAGCTAAGAATGAAATGTAAAAAGATACATGCGGCCGGAAGCTGCTTACTGCTGAAAAAATTCAGAAGAACAAAAGCAAGGCTTTCAGTTTAACCTCTTGTCATTAACTTTAAGTGTTTTGAAGTACTTCAAAAAATTTGAAATCGTTTGTTTAATTGTGCAAAGATGCTCGCCTGCATCTCAGCTATATATCTGGCTCTTTTTTGTAAGTAATTAGTAAGTAACTTAGTTTACGTATAAAGGTACTCGCACATGTGAATAACGTGATGTTCAGAAAACCGTCRTCACACAAGAAGGATGCTAATTGGACGATGGTTACAACCAATCAGATTTGCTTTGTGGCAACTTTTTAAAGCCCTGAACTAAAGCACTCGACAGGAGACAGTGCGATAGCCTTGTTTGAAGATGGTTCTGTTGCGTATATTTGCACGTTGTATGCTGTTATTTATCTTGGYTATCACTGCAAAATCAGGTTTGTGAATAGTTTATCTGGCTTCGATTTTCTTCTTGTTGTTCTTTTCTCCTCCCAGTCATACTCTTTTACAACGTTTTGTCTAGTTTTTACAGCTTAGAGCGCAATCTTAGTCCTCGAATTAACGTCTAAATCGAACCAGAGCAACTTCTCTGGATTCTTTTTCGGACCAATTTGCCGACGAATTCAAAATATCATCCTGTCCACCACAACATGTCAGTCCAATCCACAGTTTTTTGTTTGTTTGTTTTTTGTTTTGTTTTTTTGAAAGCCACGAGTCAGTAGAGTTGGAATCTGTATGAAGATATTGGACATACTTAAATACACCTTGTACGATAATCACACAAACAAATAAACCAAGTAATTGGTTTAATTGGTAATTGGTATAATTAATATTAACCATAGTTTTTACGAGGTTCCAGCACTCATAGTGGCCTCCCATAGATACAATATCAATTTTTTATCTTAATGAATACTGATCTATTATTCTTTCTTCAATTCTCAAGAAACTAAATGTTCGACATCTCCATACAGTAAATTAGGCTGCTACAAACACTCTGAGAGCAGTACACAGTACATAGCATGGATAACA